CCGCGTAAGCCGCACAGTGTGGCCGTCTCTGTCGGATGGGGGAGGGGGTGAGGGTGTGGGGTCTTATAGTCCCCTAGTGCCCATCAGCTGCAGAACGGAACGGCTGGCGAGACTGCATTAGCTGTCAAGCCAGTGCTTGACATGTGTCGCAGCAAGTCAGGCTGAAACAGACTGAGTAGGGTTGATTGAGATGGGCAGGTGTCAAGGCAGGTGCGACAGTGACCACCACTACCACGGCCACTTGCTCTAGTTTTTTCCCAATCCCCCTTCCTCCCAGTGTACGTGCTGCTAAGCTCTGTCGTTGGAGGTTGGACAGGGCGAAGTGCGAGGGGAAGGGGCAGCTCCTGCTGCTGTCTCGCTGGGTTATACGCACGTGAGACGGCATGGGATTGTAGTTGTTGTCAGAGGCAGGCCCTAGGCAAATGTGTGACCCCCTGTATTTATGACCGCCGGGGCTACCATGGTCCTCTTCGTTGTGGTGAGACTTAGAAGGTGAACTGCGGCGGTTCACCACGTGTAGGGACAGGGCAGAAGAGAAAAATGAGCAAGAGATGCAGAGAATGGGAGAAGAAGAAAAAAAGAAGAAGACCAATAACAAGATCAGGAAGACGACGAAGTGGATACTCGGATATTTTATTTCCCACACTGAGCAACCCATTCTCATATGCCTAATATACATGAACTAACATGAACTGCCATGCTATGACAACAACCTCCCCCATCTCCCCTGCCCTCTCACCATGTGCCCACAGCTAAGACTAATAGCTTATACTCTATTTCCCTATCAAGTTTCACCCTTCTAGGTCGACACTTAATTGGAATATGCAATGACCGTTTGCAATTGAATAAGAGGTCGAAAAGTTATATGACGTGAATAAATTCTGCCAATTTCGTGAACTTCGCCTTGTTCAATTTTCTTCCGGGAGAACAATGTTTTAATTCATCAGAACAGACAGAAATACAGCAGACCTAGGTGGGCATTGCGACTTATGAACCGTCATAAGTTAGGCAAACCTAAATCCTGATTTTGATAACCTTGGATTCTAACCGGAAATCTTACATCCGTCGCCCTGTTGACTGCGATCGACTTCTACTGATTTAAGCAGGAAACCCATTGCTAACTGGGCTTTCACCGATAAGTTAGGAGGCTAACTTTTTCTGTACTGCCTTGGGGCTTACTTTCGAGGATCGCCAGTAGCCGCATAGCAGTTAGTATGATAGGCAGATGATCACTACCAACAAAAGCGAATGGAATGACCGTTCCTGTTTTATGAGTAGTCATCAGCCAACCATACGTAATCGCGGGTGGCGAGCCCCCTGAAGCTCGAACGCATTCTAGTCAACAGGTCGCGTTTTCGAGCCTCGGGTGATGCATCATCTGTGGTGGTTGGGTATGGCTGATTAATGACGATTAGTAAGCCAGAAATGGCCATTTCAGTCCTTCGCCCTCGGCCAATTTCAGCTATTCAGTTATTCTAACTCGGCACAAAGGCTCTCGCATGGCCTGACGTGTTGCCCTCATCCGGCTGCCAACTTCTTCCGACCTAGTCTTCAATTTACGACTCCGATTGGTGGTGTATTTCTCCTTCTCCTCGGAAACGGAACTGGTGTCGCAAGTAGTTGTGTCGACAAGAAGGTTTCCAGAAATCA